AGACAACCTGCGAATGATCTAGGACGCGTTATGTGAACATATCTCAAATAAGTTGCTTCAGTAATAAATTTCATTGCTTACGTACAGATTCGGGGCACTCGACCAGTCCCCACTGTAAGAAATGCCTGACAGAATTTACCTGCGCGTTTGACATCAACGAAGCTTTCTCGAGACGTTCGGAGGACACATCACAAGACTGGACATACAAAACTCTTGAAGAATGCAGTCTTCTAGGATTTGGCACCGTGTATATGTGGTGTTAACCGACGTTTCAGAGGAACGTATCGCCTCCATCTTCAGGGTAGAAGGAAAAATATAAGAAATCCGCAAGCGAAGAGACCTTCTCCCTTCTACCCTGAAGATGGAGGCGATACGTTCCTCTGAAACGTCGGTTAACACCACATATACACGGCGCCAAATCCCAGAAGACAGCTTTCTTCATAGTCACCGCCGTGAAAGCCTCAAATCTTACATACAAAACTCTTGTTTACATATACAAAGATCGCGGAAGAATCTAAAACGAACGAAAAGGACACAGCCAGGGCTCTTTGGGAAACGCTAGGTAAGCACGCCGACACGATGAGGAGGTATTTTGGGTGACCTCAAGCAGCCGGAATTTTTAAATTACTCACTGTCGGTGGGTCAGGTAGTCACAGTACCAAATTCTGCCACAGGCAAAGTAATCGTGTGAATAAGTATTGGAACCCACATAATAAACGAAATACAGTAAAACCTGATTGTAACGGAACACTTGCTCCTCACCTTATACAGTATTATTACCTCTACAAAATCGCTATCGCAGAGACGAGGATGACAAAACCGATAAGTGTGACCGCAGGGCCTCTTTCCAGAAGAGACGAAAATATTTGCATATGAAGACCTAGCCTGACCTTAACTGCGCATAAATCCGAAACTGCTAGTTCTCCTATGTTACTGTTTACCAATCTGTCGCCGCAAACCGGATCTTATTAGCATTAAAATATTTTATTACAGCTGGATAAATTAATAAAATACGTACCTACAACTAACATTTTATCTCCTTTTAGGGACTAAATCGTGTTGCAGATTATTATGCCGTTTTTACTCTCTTCTTTATACAGCGTTCTTAATAACGTGACAGACCGACTGATGTGAAGCAGGATAAGAACTTTGAAACCGGTCACTGCTCCTTCATAAACGAGCAGGCAAATCCATGGACATCGGGATGTTCGACAATTTAATTATTTCGTATGCCCTGGGGCATAATATTAAGTCGGAATGTTCGATGTGGATATCGGCACCTCTTTCGATTTTAATATCAAATGGGTGTTTTCATTTTTTATTGGAAGGAAACGTGTTCAAACGTATGTAATAATTTGACTTCTGGACTCTGAGACACCGTACGAGTTCTCCGTGGGTGGCTACTGATCCTCCAACCTTCAAGAAACCAAACATGAACATGTTACACATACGACACAGCAACGAGGCTTTACTATCTACTGGGACCGCCTCTGTGGTCTAGTGGTCAGAGTTTGATTCCCGGAGCTACCAGATTTTCTGAGAAGTAGTGGGTCTGGAACGGGGTCCACTCAGCCTCGTGAGGATAATTGAGGAGCTATTTAAAGGAAATAGCGGCTCCGATCTAGAAACCCGAAATTAACGGCCGTGGGGATCCGTTGCGCTGACCACGCGACACCCTCTATCCGCTAAAGTTGACACTATTTCTTTTTATTGCTAGTGGGGTGGGACTAAGTCCATTGTACTGCGGCCACTTCTGGCCTATTGTACCAGCCCCAGATGATAGGTGAGGTTAAGTTGACACTAACTTCGCCGAAAAGCGGCGGTCGCTCAGTCGGTATAGTTCGCTTGCGGACTAAAACCACAGAGTTCGTTTTTTTTTTTCTTTTTGTAAGCGAGGTGTTTCTGTGTGCCTTAATAGGCCAATGATGCAAGGCTTCTGATCAAATTTTGAGCTTCTGCTTGGACCGAAGTTTACAATACTGATGCACGCCTAGCAACTAACTATGCAACGTCATATGATAAGTCGTGGGAGGACAGAACGGTATCTTTGTTGACAACTGATCTGTCTCAATGAAAAGGTACATGAGAAGTTAATTTAATATCAAACACCTCTGGTTTTCGAGGGCAATCGTCATTTTGGAGAGGATCGATCAGTGTGGAACACGCTGCAATGACACAACACTGCATCCAAGTCAGAAAACGGTATCGGCCTTTTCTAACAACAGAAACAATCAGCTATTTATAGTGTTTACATATTACTTACTTACTTACTTACCATGGAGCTGAGCCCTTCTGGAGGAGCCGCCAATTCTGCAGCTACTCAAGAATTTCCCAGCATTTTATGGAATCCGATGGTCCATTACCATGTTCACAAGAACCCTCCACTAGTCCCTATCCCGAGCCAGATCAGTCCAATCCATACCATCCCATCCTGTCTCTCTAAGATCAATTTTAATATTGTCCACCCCCCTACGCCTTGGTCTTCCCAGTGGTCTCTTTCCTTCTGGCTTTCCCACCAATATACTATACGCATTCCTCGTCTCCCCCATTCGTGCTACATGCCCTTACCACCTCATCCACCTTGACTTGATCATTCTAATTATACTTGGAGGAGAGTACAAGTTATGAAGCTCCTCATTATGCAGTTTTCTGCAACCTCCTGTCACTTCATCTCTCTTCGGTCCAAATATTCTCCTCAGCACCCTGTTCTAATATTAAAACCAAGCAGCTGATCCGAAGATCTACTCTGCAACAAAACATCTTTCAGCAAGTTTATAGGTGTTAACTAACGATTCTGGGATCAATTTACGTGAGAACTCTCAAAATCCCATCAATGAGGATCGCAAATGAGAGAGAAGCCGAAGAACCGAAAGTTAGCAATTCCTCAGCATTGTCGGATTTACGCGAAACCTGAAAAATATCGCCACTCACTCGCGGAGCTAAGGCCTTCCTGAGAAGCCGCCAATTGTGCAGAACTTCCCAGCATTTTATGGAACCCGAAGGTTCATTACCGTGTTCACAACAGCCTTCTACTGGTCCCTGTACTGAGCCACAGCAATCTGATCCATTTCATCCCACTTCTCTAAGAGCCACTTTAATACTGTCCACCCACCTACGTCTTGGTCTTCCCAGTGGTCTCTTTCCCACCAATATCCTACATGCATTACTCTTCTCCCCCATTCGTGCTACATTCCCTGTCCATGTCATCTTCCTTGACTTGATCAGTCTAATTAAATTCGGAGAAGAGTACAAGTTATGAAGCTCATTATGCAGTGTGACAAATACCACTACGGAACAAAAAACTATTCATGAAACTCGACAATTGTAAGAATTATACTATACATCCTACTACGATATTTATATCATCAATCACGTTCGAGATCGATAAAATTCCTCCTGCGTGTAAAGCTGTGCGATATTGACACTTGTCAGGATTGATTAGAGAGCACAGGCAATATTCAGTCTTCAGTACAACGCAACAACCTTAACTCTTCTCACAACATCACGTTACTAACTCCTCATTCTCGTAAACTACACAAACACCTCCTAACACTACAAAGTGAATAACGAAGAACGGTAATTTTACCTGACGTTTCACACAACGATTAAATTTGGTCTCTTTCTCGCTAAAGGAAGAACATACACTGAGGGTTTTTCGCAAAAGACTGTGCGGAAAAAGATAACGAAGTTATCGTGTTAAGGGCGAACTTGTGAGAATATCCTATCAATGCAAACAAAACACACAACGACGAATTTCGGAACTTGTACGCTTCACGTTATATTTTTAGTGGGATTAACAAAGGATGCGGCAGCCTTAACAAGTAACACGCGAGGTGTTACAAAAATAATTAAAAATACCATATATATATTTCTAAATTATCGAGAAACAACAAAGAAATAAAAAATACCCAAACCGAAGTGAAATATTCAACTACTTACACTTTATTCTCAGTAAGTGACAAAAATGTTGATATGACGTTATGGTATCGCTTAGCAGGAGACAAGAATAAATTACTTCACTCGAAATGTTTACCGAACAGTTCACTTTTAAAACACTACTGTAACACAGTACTAGTAATGATAAAACAAAATTTCAGAGTGACTGCTCGCGCTTCCCCATGTGTTTTCTTAAAGATTCTCTGTTGACTAATAAATTCTACAAGTGTATGTTTGCACTTAATTATTCTAGTAAATGCTACAGTATAACATTTTGGTGACCATGTAAACATTCGGCCGAATTTGAAGTTCACTTATAGGTACCGCAGTGTTACACAAATTCTAGCCTATCCAACCCTTCTAATCTGCCATAGACTGAATACGAACATGCACACATGGCATGACGTAATTACGCCAGTCTCTCACCCGCGAATGACTAGTTCCGATAAGTATCCTCAAAAAAAGATAAAGAAACACTCAGAAGTGCCGACAGGGTTCTTCTGAACGTTCACCCACACTCCCCTCACAAATACGTAAAATTACAGTGTACTTCTGAAAAAAAACAAAAAACAAAAAAAAAAAAACCACACACACACACACACACAACACTGACGAGATAATTCGGTAGCTCAAATATTCCCAGCCTTTTCAAGCTCGGTGTTCGACAAATACTGTATACATACACCAGATACAGAGAGGTTTATAAACTAATTTTAACATACTACCGTGTACATTCATACGGATAAATACCGTACTAATAATTTAAATTTCACTTCTACTCTTTCTTTATTCAAATGATTCCCGAATTTGCAAGTACAGTTATCAATATGACGGCTGATTACTAGTGAGTAATCAATGCAGCTGCTTGCGCAAAAATAAAATTTTCGATTTTAATTTAATATCAGTTTCATTATCTTGCAGTAGCTCATGGCACCTTTCATATCTCACGCGCCTTTCCTCCCGTCATTGAAGGTAATGGGGTACATTCGTAAGAATGTTCCCACGACGTGCATAAGTTCACAACACCAATCATGAGCACAGTTCCATAGTGATTAGTTACATACCCTGTTACTCTGGAGAGCTTCTGCACTATGCTCCTCCTTCTGTCTAAAGCAGTTGGTGCACTTGCTTTTATTGAAGATGTTGGGGGCGAATTTTCTACATTCGGACCTCATGAGTGTTGTTGACATGTTGTCACACACTTAGACACAAACTGAAAGAGTCGCATATTTTTTTCGATAGTCTTGTACAAGCGTCGTCAATAAGAACTTCCCGTAGTACTCATCACAGACGTAATGGCAACATTTCAGACAGATAATTCACCTAGAGAATGAAATGTTTAGGTGACAGCACAATCGTTTTATATTACGTGACGCCAGAAATGGTTTAATAATTAGTGTCACAACACAGCAGCAGTAAGCCCGCCGGTTGATTGACTACTTTATTTATTCATTTAATGGTGAGTTTTTGTATTTTAGTTCTATTCACTGTACATTCATATACAAATTTACATTTTTCACCTATCTCCGTTGGCTAATGAAACACCGCACCCCAGTTCACAAGCGAGCACAGCCATTTTCCTTTACTACTACACACAACCTCATCCTTAACTCTCAAGTCAGACTCTGACTGCACGGAAGGTCCCTTGCCGTTCATTCATACGGTTCTCCTGCGAGCAATAAAGTAGTTCCACGTCTTTAGAAGTGATTCTAGAATTGTGCTCGTATTTTGCAAACAATTTTATAAAGGTAATTCTAGCTGTTATAAATAAATACATATGAATTAAAGGCCGAAACCGCTGTATTTACATGAAGCAAAACAGTAATGAAAGAATAATAATCTTGCGCCAACCAGTATGGCAAGTAAAAGGAACATGTAGTATGAAAAACTGTGGCATACTGAAACTTTGTAATTTAATACAGACCCAGGGGCTACAAAATTATAAAAGAGTGTAATAGAAACGTCATTTCTATACATGACTAAGAAACAGTTACTGTCGCTTCCACTTAAATTTGTTTCCTGATAGTACGATAATTTATTTCAAGCGCGTATTGCCGCTTTGCGCATTTCAAATGTTTACACTTGTCATTTGTTACAATATGTAGTATGGTGGTTATTTCCGGATCCGTACCATGCAAATATGGCGGAAGGAGGGTCTGACAGGTCTGTTAAAATAATTTGCTTGAAAAGCGTTACAGTATTAACCCATAAAATATTTATAAATTTAAATATTTTGTCAACAGAGAATTATATTGACATGAACCAAAGGAAGTTGCAATATTTTAGTGGAAGCTAATGTTTAGTTTGTCGTGTGAGAGCATTAGCTTCGAAGGAGCTGGAGCAATGTGTGACCATTTGTTATAAGAGTGCGTCTACTTTAACAATATCCTTGACATTAGAACGTGAGCATTGGAAGTATGTAGTTTGTACGTGGACATAATTATTGGAAGTATGTAGTTTGTACGTGGACATAATTTTTAAACTTAAAACTGGATATTTTGTTATAACAAAGTTGTCCATGACAATTTTATTAATTGAAAGAACGAATTTCAGGCAATTTTAGGTTATTTCTAATTTAACTTTCGGCATTGGCCATTCGTATTTTGCAGGACCCTTGACTTCACCAATTTTCCTTTATCGTATGTACTCCAATTTTTCCGCAAATTTTTGTCATCGAGTATGAGCGTTACTTTAAGTAGCATCAGGCCATTTGAGATTCAAATACTTTTGCAAGTTTTTTGGAGGTGCGTTTTTTTTACTCCTGTTATGTATAATGTTTATTCTCGTCATTATTAGCAAATAAAAATTCCCATTTGCAGAATTGTGGATTGTATTGGGACAGCACAGCACAAAGTAATTGCAGTATACGCTATTTTGGGATGTATTTGTATTTTGTTAGTAAATATCAGACAATTTTAATATGAATATTGGCGGTCAGAAAATTTTTCTTATATTTCAGCATAAGGGCAGCTTTGCTACATTTAGAACTTGTGATGTGTATTCTGATATAAATTGTAATTTATTGGATTTAAATAGTGCAAACTGTGACAACTTTTGGTATCATTGCAGCATTTGGTATATTTTTAATGAAAACAACAGTTAATACATACATTGACTTCCCCTTCAACAGAGAACTGGATCCCTCTAAAGTTGCCGTCATACGTGAAGTGTATGACACTGACAGTGCACACGAAACATTTGAATTGGAGTTGGAGCGTGCCTTGGAAGCAGGGTGCAGCATAATTGTTGTTGAGCCATCAAGGCTAGGGGATGAGACAGCTCGCTGGATTGCTGTTGGCAATTGTCTACATAAAACAGCAATTCTCTCAGGAATAGGTGCCATTGCAACAGGTAGATATTACCGTTAACACCATTTTCAGATACCAAAATTTGTATGTACATTGTGGTTGTGAGTGGTGTAAACTGAGCTCAGTATAAACTTGAGATTTTGATCTACTGTAGAGATGTAGAGAAGTGAGCAGGGCACTTGTTGTATTAATGGGTGATCCAAGTAACTTAAAAAATGTTACCTCCATACAGAAGGCCACATTAGTGCTGTTAGTTGCAAGACAGATATTTGTAAAAAATAAATCCAAAGCCTAACTTCTAGATATTCATTTTTACAAATGGAACCAAAGGCCTGACATTTTGAAAATGAAGCCAAAAGTCTGATCTTGCAGACTTATTGTTGGATATCCTAAGGCTATACATCACATTTTTATAAATTTCTAAGGTTGGCAATAAGTACTAATGTAGCAGACAGCATGGTAAATATTAAAATTACTTGGTTCTTCTGTTCATATGTACGCATCAAGAACAGCAGCAGCAATAATTAATGAAAACTTGTCTGATTCCAAAATAATTTCCTCCATTTAAGAAATAGATTTCCCTGTACTGCTATGTGCTCCTTTTGAGCAATACATTCCACACTTGTTTTGGTATTTACAATCTGAGTGTTTCCTTTTTCAGGATTGGTATGGACCGACCGCCCATATATATGTACCCCACTGGGAGCACTTTCGTTGCTGTGCACTGGACTATATACCATTTCATGGCAGTTTGACCCCTGTTGTCAGTACCAGGTTGAGCGTGATCCAAGAAGGCTTTCAAAATTGCCACTTCTTGGTTCTCTTACACCAAGATCACCAGTTGTTGTTCTAGTTCGGCGAGATGACTCAAGACGGAAAATTCTTCATACAAGCGTGTCTCTAATTGCAGCTGCTTTCTGTGCATGGCGGCTCTATGATGCCTACAAATGAAAGTAATTTGTTTCACGCACCAACAAAATAGATATGTAGGTTCCAGTTACTTTACATTGTATGTAACTTGTCACATCCCATGTTTATTTAACCCAAAGTGTAATACTTAAATGTGGAAAATGTTACCTAAAGTAACTGGATTCTGCTTTACGTTTTTATAGGGGACATGAATAATTAAGATAGGAATCCCATTAGGCAGGGTAGCAGATAATCTGCTTTAGCATTGCCGACACATCTGCAGCATTCATGTGCAAACTCTAGCTTCTAATGATCTGTCAGGAATGGAATGTGTTCTTCACCCTGCCATGGGGCTTTGTTTTATGGCCCTAAAGCTGTAAGGCACAACACCTAAGATTGTTATCATTTTGGTTTGCCCCACTTAAAAGAGGTACTGAAGACTGTATGATATAGGTATTGATTATTGTTTTATTGGTGGAACTGAAAGTTAAGGCATGGAATTTCTGCTCAATAAATAGCTACATGCTTGACATGGCAAACAGAACGTTTATTAGGGGCACAACTGTTATTTGATATGGACTTGTGTCATGCGCATAAACACTATCGGATTTCAGATGACATACATCTGCAGATACTGTACTGCACATTTAAAGTTATTCTGGACCATGGTCTGATGATAGTTATTTGGTAATTGTAATGGGTAGCTACTGGCTAGTCCATATTCAAGAACATATATTTTTCCTACTGTAAAATTTCTTTCATTGTAGAAGTTGGGTAGGAAAGTAATCTGTACATTTCTTTCTTGTTAAGGAGACGTAAACATGGAATTCATACAGATATGTCATCAATCCAATGGTAAAGTTGTGAATCGATAATTCAGCTGTGTAACAGATTCACAACTTGACCATTGGAACAAAGATTTCATCTCTGCTGTATATATAATGTATAGAAGAATCAATCATTTGAGGCAAGAAGCTCCAAACTTAGTCAAGAGCGGTCGTAATTTTAAAATAGACTAGAAAGAGAATGCAAATGGCAGTGATGTACAAATCGGTGTTAAAACGAATTTCCTATTAAATCCCTCACAATGTGAAAAGTATGGTGAGATGTATTTGCAAACTAAGTTTCTTATTAGTTCTTACAATACATGGAACAAACATTGTATCCACAGACACAAGCAGTTATTTTTAATTTGTATTAATAGTATTGTGGCTTTTTAAAATAGAACTGTGCTATGATGAAAATAAAGTCTGCTTGTAGGTGATTTCCAGTCTGAATGAAAGCGAAGCAACCATACTATCTCCTAATCAAACAAGTGGGTTTTCTGTGGAGATTCCAACCATCCTGATAAAGTTTTGAGGCACCTAATTCTAGATTTAAATTCCGATTGAGTTATATAAAAACACAGTCATGCTGTGGCTACTTCTGAATTAAACTTTGGACCTATACACACAAAATTATCAGTGCCTGAAATACATCAACAGTATACAAGATCTGTAAAAATATGAATTTCACTGGTAACCATAATTCAACATTTCTTAATTCTGGTTTATTCAAGACTAAGTCATACAAAGTGAGAAAACTTTGTTCCGTCAGCATTGCAACATCTGTCTGTACTACAATGCAAATGAAAAAAAAATTCCTATTATACAGAAAATGTTTTTAAAGCACGTGTATCACATGGGAATGTTATGTCACTACAAATTACATTGTTTATGGTAGTAGGCTGTGTAAGGAGTTCAGAGTATGGTCTTCTGGTTTATGAAACATATATTCTCTTGAGTGGTCTGTTTCATAAGAACCACCAGCCTCCAACTTCATTTCTAACCTGAAGGTAGAGGCAGCAAGTTCCTCTGAAATGTTGGTAACGATCTTCAAGGCCACATGTTGTCATAACCCAGAAGACCACAGTTTAAAACTCACTGCCATGAAGACCTCAGATCTCATATGTAAGGCACATTCTTCATACTACGTATATGTAACTTGCCAAATCAAGAAATACATCTCTGTCCTTGCAGATATATATATCACTGAATGTTGTAGCATGAAAGTTACCGCTGTTACTTTGTATATGTGAGGTGGCCAGTTTGAATCCTGACAAAAAGAAAGCCATCCGAGACTGAACTTTCATGTGCACGTCTTACTTCCTCACCCCTCCAGTTTATCATTCAGGACTATCACTCTTCCCCTCACATGTGTAATTAAATAACTTCAGCAAACAGTAATCTGTATTCTGAACATAAAGTGCCTCAGATTTTTGCGCCCAAAATGTGGTTACCCTGTACTGTTAATACTGGTGTATGTAAGTATGTAAATTACAAACTGTCTATAACTGTATGATGAAGAGTTTTCAGACACCTCATGATGTTTCCCTAGCACTTACTGGAAAAGATGTTTGCCGCCCAACAGCAGTCACTAATACCTCCGGTAGATGGGGGAAGCATTATAGATACTTCTCAGCCAGTAGAGCCGGTCTCGCTGGCTGGGCGGGACTGATGGTAAGCACCAGTACCGGTAGGATATAGAGGCTGGTAGAAATCATAGAGGGAAGCACAATGGACCACTACAGGTCTAAGTGCATGGAGAAACCCGCCCTCTCCAATAACTAACTAACTACTGGAAAAGATGACATTAAAGCACTTGAACTTCTGGGACTGCTAGTAAATAATTAAAATGTTGATGGGTACTGTCTTCTGGGATGTGACGCCGTGTAATCCGGTAGAATTAAAATCTTAGTGAATGGACAGAAGAATATGATTGAAAGATAATATGGACATACACACTGGAACTGTGTATGATTGGAAAATATAAGATGGATATGGGATAGGCTAATTTATTTTCCTTAATGCATGAAAATGATATCAAAATAATTGTTACTTTAGACAGTTCATCCGCAAAACTGAAATACTGAAGAAGGCTAATGTATGTAACAGTTCCAGTCAGCAAATCAATTATTTTACTGAATATAACTGTAAATAAATTATGGAAATCCATAACTCCATTTTCTTACTTAACAAAAAAAATCATGATTTCCCAAATACCTATGGAAGTGAAGGAGTGAATATGTGAGCAAATGTTCTGGCCAAAAAAAGATGAAGTGAAACATTTGTTTGTGGCATATTACACAGAATAAAATATAAACAACATGACTGAAACCTAAACGTATGTGATGTTCATCTTCAGAGTGTTAATCAGATTCCTCTATAATGATTAATTGTATTCCAAAACCAATACACAATATGAAATACTTCTCTCATTAAATTCTGTAACTTTGACTGACTCAAGAGGTTTGAGAGAGAGAGAGAGTTCATTACTGAAGATTTCTTTATCTTAGAAACCATCTAACCCGTTCAACAGAAAGTCTTGACCTACCCACTGTTTCATACGAACAGTTAACTGCAACTATCAGATGCTTTCATGAATACTACAAAAGAAGTCATGTGTACTATGATTTAAGTTAGTTTAAGTGTTGTTCCAATCTTGAGATTTCTGTTTCTGTAGATGCTAAAAAAGTCCAGCGTCTAATAGTTTTTCTTCCTCCTCTGGCATGTTCCAGTGATTAAATCTCTTCACATATCTTGGAAAAGAAACAAATATTACTGTGGCAGCCACAGAATGTTTTATTTTCATGAATGTAGTCATGGTAAATACTTGCTTGAGAATCACTGTTCTGCAGTTGCTTTAATTGGAAAATACCTGAACACCTAAGTTGGGAAAACTGAAGCCCTTCTGCCATCTGTGGAAAGAGGTGATATTGCTTCTCTTGCTGTCACTACACATATGACAGTGCCACTGTTAACATTCTTCAGCCACCAAGAGATATTATCAATGAATGATCCTTCATAACACATTAACAGAATGTGTACTGATGGCACAGTTAATAACTTCTAACCAGAGGTGTTGCGAGCTCTTCTTTCCATGATCCAGAAATAAAGTGATGGTGCAAGTGTTCGTATCAGCATGGCAAGACGAGGAACAACTGGTGATATAATCATCTCTTCTTTGCACTGCACAACAGCAGACAGTATCTTCTCTGCCACATACTCAGGCGTATAACCATTTGCAGTTGCACTGTCTGTTTCTACCAATGTAAAAACAAAGAACATTTGCATATATTCAGTTCACAAAGATAACACTGCCCATTTGAACATTTTAGCAACAATACAGTAAACATAGACTACAGTGGTTCAGCAGTAACATTCTGGACTTGTATTCCTCATGTAAGATTTGAGGCTTTCACGGCGGTGACTATGAAGAAAGCAGTCTTCTGGGATTTGGCACCGTGTATATGTGGTGTTAACCGACGTTTCGGAGGAACGTATCGCCCCCATCTTCAGGGTTGAAGAAGTGTAGGTAAATCTGCAAGCGACAACACCGTGAGACACGGTCAAGCAGACTGAAGAACATACCGTTGAGCAGAGAGGGAAGGGGATGAACTGCAAGTAAACAAGTGAAAGCAGTGGTGTGGGAGGGGTGGGGGAAGGGAGCCGGGACAAGCGTGATTTTGTGTAGGGGAGAGTGTAGCAAGGTTAAATGGCTGGGCTTTAACTGTGAGCTGAGGGTGNGCGATACGTTCCTCCGAAACGTCGGTTAACACCACATATACACGGTGCCAAATCCCAGAAGACTGCTTTCTTCTTTGTATTCCTCAGTTGCTGGTGCTCAGTTTAAATTCCAGCCAGACAATGGCTATCCTGACTGCAGTATTCTGTGATTTTCCTCACTCACAGGCACATGCTGGGATTCTATATTGATTACACCAGGACTACTTCCAGATCCTTTCGAATTCAACAATCATTCTATCATTCCTGCTTATATAGTCTAGATATTAACAGAACTGTAAAATAAGCCACAAAAAAATACACTACAACAGCAAAAGTACTGTAGTTGTAATAAAATTCCTGGGATTAACCCTTAGCTTCAAGTCCAGTCATACACTAATCTGAATATCAGACACATGAATTCTGAGAATATAAAGAACTGGACATTTAACACTCGGCTTGTAAGTCCTCTGAGAATTATTACAGGAGACAGATGCACACAGCCATCCATGCAATAAAACAAACATTCAGGACAGATATTTACCTCCGTAAGCTTCTCCGCTTCCGGTAAGAGCATTGACTGATAATGCTGTTGCAATGTAACCAGGACTTATTACAGACACCTTGATGTTATATCTTGCTAATTCAGCTCGTAGTGAATCACTGAAAGCCTGGAGGGCATGTTTTGATGCTGCATAAGCAGATCTGCAATTCATGAATATTTGAATCCCACCAAATTATATACGTGGACAAGGTAAGGTTTAAATTTAATTTCAACAATATCCAGTATATGGCATGTTGCATACTAAATGAGCCTGCTTTTATCATTGGACTGACAAGTTTCAGATTCAATATAATACTGCCATGTGACTGAATGAATATCAATGGGGTTTGGATTGGAGATTGAATTTAGTGACTATTTTAACACAGGATTGATAACTACACTTAATTATTGCACCCTTGGTGATCTCCACATTTTACAAATCATTACAGCACATGCTAGACTCCCTTACAGCTCTCTAACTTCTAAACTTGTCTCGGTTATAATATCTTGCCATGGGAACCTGTCTGTTTCATGGTCACTACCTAGTAATGGATCTACACACAACAATTACATTTAATCGTGCATTAGTTTATAGACATATATATTGACTGCTTGCTCCATACTCTTTTAAGATTTCACTAGTGAACTGATTCAATGAAGAGAGTTAATCATCTCTATTATGTATTACAACAAATGAATAATAAATATCCAACTGGGGTAAGCTAAGTCTAAAAGTATCTGGCTATGGTGTAAGAGTAACTATGATTATAATTTTTCAGGCTGTCCATTTTGAGTTTCTTCAAAGCATAACGTTTTGGAAACTGGATTTTTTCCTATCATCAGGTGCAACAGGAAAGGTTCTTGCTCTACTGGGTCCATTAGGAGGAGCCAATCTCAGTCATTAAATGATGAGCCCCTGGAGCAGGAACCATTCCTCTTACACCTGATGATGGAAACAGGGCCATTCTCCTATACACTGTATTCTGAAGGAACATAAAATGATGGTTAAGTTTTGCACCATCACCATGATTGTAGTAATTAAGATAAAGAATATACCTCCATATAATATTTATAAGTCTGGTGATGTATCAGACTTCACAAGCCTGACTGCAGGGGTTCAGTCACAGTGAGTTACCTCTACCTAATGGATGTTAAATGTGCAGATCTAAATATAACAACATTTCATCTTAGAAATAATTCTCTTTCATTTCAACAGTCATAACAGCAAATTTTCACATTGTTTCATAATACTTCTTCCTCTAAATAAATTTTAATTTTGTTCAAGGTTCACATATACAGTTACACTCTTGATACATACCTGTAAGGAATTGCAATTCTGCCCTGAATGCTGCTCACTGTGACAATATGGCCACTGCGTCTTTCTATCATAGATGGTAACACAGCTGTTTTAAATTAAAATAAAATACAATAGGAAATAAGTAAATAATTGCTGCACATATTCACAGAATAAAAAATTTAAGGCTGTTTCAGGAACTTACCTTTTGTTAGAACCATCTGGCCAAAATAGTTGACCATCATGATCTTCATAGCAACATCTACATCAGTGCTTATTACATCACCCCTGTTGCTTATACCACCATTGTGTATCAGAATATCTACATGGCCAAATATTGCCAGTGCCTGTGTAACACAGTCTGGTAGAGAGTTCAGATCTGATAAATCTAAAGGCAGAACTACTGGTAGATGTGTTGGTACAGCCTGAAAATAATAATAATTAAAAAGCTTTAAATTATAAAATAGCATGTAATTTCTTTTATCATGTGCAAGCCTTAAAATCAATACAAGATCTACATATGTGTGTGCACGCATGCGCACACACAGATATTGTATATCTGTGACTCCAAAAAATTAATCTAATAAATATTTTTAAGTTCTAACCCCAAAATCTTTACAGTAGTACCGAAAAGGCATCTACTTACTTACTTACTCACTCATGGAGCTGAGCCCTTCTGGAGGAACCACCAATTCAGCAGCTACTCAAGAATTTCCCAGCATTTATGGAACCTGAAGGTTCATTACCGTGTACACAAGAGCCCTCCACTGGTCCCTATCCCGAGTCAGATCTATCCAATCCACAACATCCCATCCTATCACTCTAAGATCCATTCTAATATTGTCCACCCACCTATGCCTTGGTCTTCCCTGTGGTCTCTTCCCTTCTGGCTTTCCAACCAATATCCTATAGAAATTCCTCGTCTCCCCCATTCGTGCTACGTGCCATGCCCACCTCATCCTCCTTGACTTGATCATTATAATTATACTTAGAGAAGAGTACAAGTTATGAAGCTCCTCATTATGCAGTTTTCTCCAACCTCCTGTCACGTCATCTCTCTTCGGTCCAAATATTCTCCTCAACACCTGTTCTCAAACACCCTAAGTCTATGTTCCTCCCTTAATGTCAGAGACCAAGTTTCACACCCAAGGCATTCATTCATTCATTCATTTATTGTATATTCCATAAATCCATATACATAGATATAGAACCAGTCACATAATTAATATAGTACAATACAAATACAGTCAACTCTCGATTATCCGGGGGCGGATTAACCGGTTTGCGGCTTAACCGGGGCTTTTTTTTTTAAGTTTATATGTTGTTTAATATTCATTCACTTTTGTTTCACATGGTGAGTTTAACACTATTTTCGCACTAGTGTGAACCGAGCTCTGCATTATTTCGTCCCGTTATGCGAACACAATGTTCTAGGGTGGGGGTGAAAGAATGCAAGAATTTTTGGAAAGTTTCAAGGACAAATACACCGCCCCAGGTTATTTAACGGTACCATCTCAGTGTGAGAGTGCATTGTGAAAGTAAGTATCAGTTTCTTAATA